TTCCACGCCAATGTGTAGCTAGCTGATTGGGATATTCTAGCGACTCGCCGACGTCCAAAATTTAGCGCCCGAGTGATTGCTAATCCAAGATATCGAAGCTGTCCCTGACATTCCCTTCAAATCAAAATAATTATAATATTTGGTGTCGAGACCATTTGTTTTATGGATACATATTCTATTATTATGTGAACTTTGTTCCTTTTGAATTTTGTAAGGTATATCCTTATGTAAAGAGGGGCGAGAGACGGGGCCCGGAGAAGATGTGAAAAGTAGCATGAAAGAAAAGAAAGATAAAGGTACAAAGAAAACAGGGAATGCATGATTGGGTCATCTTTACTTTTGTTCAATTGAAGGAACCTTTTCCCGTAGCCTTGTCCTTCTCTTGCCTTTTATCAACACGACCATTAACTATTCTCATCTCATTTTCAATAGTAGCTCGCTTTTCATGATTTTCTCTTTCAAATTAAAACATGATATGTTCTCAATGATTTATGTCCGGTAAAAATCTATATGCTGCCTTGTTGTCCGTTTGGTATCATGCAAATTAAAATTATCTGTTAAGATAGAAAAAGGAAAAATGACAAAAGATGGGGGTGACCAAGCTTCGAGTGTGGGTGTTATCCTATATATATACAGTACTGCAATATTGTGTCCGCGTTCTCCACGTCTTCATCAACATGCGGGAAGTGGACGATTTTTCATTGGAGGGATCTGTAAATGACTAAATATGTACTAATGCTCCGTGCAAGGGCAGAACCAAAATACAAGATTGGAGTTCAGTACCCAGTTCGAGATGAAATTAAGGTAAATAATTTAATAGACCTGCAACTAAATGATGGGGCTCTTGAAAAGCGGTTTGACTATATAAATCTAAGCAAAGGCAAGCTATGACAGTGGCAGGCAACCAGCTGATGAGAAGGATTCAAGATGAAAGCTATAAGCTAAGCCTATAACTTTCACCGTCTACTCGAGCTTGTTGCAGGAGATAACTCCTAGAAAATAGCCAAGCGTCATAATGGCACATGCAGCGTCATTTCCAAAATGGGCATCTTAATGGGTGGTCCTAATGATAATGAAGGAAAGAGGAGAGAAAAGGCCGAGGCAGTGCGTTATAGCTTCATAAATGATATTAACCGAGACAAAAAATGGAAGAATAGAAGAAGGTGAAGGAGGTAAGTAATTAACCCCACGGGAGATAAGACCAAGAAGCCTCAAGTTACTCTTTTTTTAAAAAAAAAGAAAAAAGAAAAATCTGTGGTCCATTTACAGATAAGAGGTGCGGTAGGGGGGGATATCCCTTGATTGTTTGGAAGCAATAACACATTACCTACCGGCTTTTCAGTCAGTGTCCAAACTGGCCACAATGCAGAGACAGGGAAAGAAGAAATAAAGAAAAGTGGAAAACCTGACCAGAAAGCACACAAATCCATAGCTCCACTCCGCGGGAGGGCCAAAAATTGTAGGAGGTGGAGCAGCCAGATAGGATGCATTGGACTTTTGTGAACTCAATTCATAATGACGAATGTGATGGCCCAACCTGGCCCCTGATTTTGGGACTAAGGAACCTAGACGCTGACGAAACTTCTAAAGACAGAACTTGTACTCCTAAGCTCTGGAGTCGCTGAATCCTGCTAGTAACTCATTCGGAACATGGATTAATGAGTTTGGGCCGCGAGTGTGATCATCTGTTAATGGCAATGACATACACGCACCCCGTTGTGAGGCGCGTGCATGTGTAGAAGAGGATAGGTAGAAGAGGATGTGACATAGAGCAATTGATACATAATGGAGATATTCTACGGAGACAGTGGCATGATCAGAAAAGGGTTCACAGGGACACGTTAACGTGCTCTCAGATGGAGTGTCACCGTCAACCCGACGAAAACCGTAAGCGCTGTCCCCATTTGGAGCGAGGCTCTCGCCTTCCTCCACGTGGTGTGGACCTTCCAGTTGTGCAGAAGGCAAAGCTGCATTCTGATTGACTCCATTTTAAAGAGAATCAAATGACCCCTCCTTCTTTTTTTCATTTTTCATTTTTTTTTAATAAATAGAGAGAAGGGAATGGTTGAATGTAGACAAAACGGGCGGGTGATGATTAGGAAAGGGGAAGCGTGAGGCTGCGTCGGATTCCAAGCCGGAGGTGATGGCCCGCATTTTATGGGGGCGGGGCTAATAAAATCTCAACCGAAACCCAAAATCTTGAGCTCTTATTAGAGCCTCCAAATTGTCGCTTAGTGCATTCAGTTTCCGGCGATCTGTAGTAGGGTAGAATCAAAGAATGGGAGATGCGATGCCTAGAATGGTACCGTTTCATTTCGTTAATTTTCTGGGAATTTGGTCTAGGCGATTCCAAAGGCTGAGCTTTGGTGTTTAGTGTCTCCAATGCTCCCCTCTTGCGTACGACATCCTCTCATCACTTCTTTATCAATCAACTAGCTCTCCCGTTCACATCATCATTCCCTTCCTAGTTCTGAAATTCTTCCTTGGGGGCTCATCACCACGACTGTAAATTTAATCTCTTTACTGTTTGCATAGTGACATGACACCGCATTAAAGCTCTGCGCTTGCATGACTGTAAGACATTCCCTCAATTGTACGTTATCTCTGAATCCGACCCCACCTAGTGGGATAAAGGCTTGTTGTTGTTGTTGTTGTACGTTATCTCTGAATCGTTATTATTCAACAGTACAGAATGCGATGCACATTCTACAGGACGTGTCAGAATCAATTAGGAAACGGTGAGATGAGATGAGAAATCAGAACTGTGGTTCTGGTTCAGAGGAACCGTGACGATTTTTGCAAAATTAGCAGGGGAGTCTCCTTGCTAAAAATAGCCCTCTGCCGTCCGCTTATATCGACCGGAGAAATATTCTCCAGTTTCTAACAATCAGGCGGACTACTTAAAAGATTAATCGCGGTAGAGTGGATGGCTAATAATTCTCCTTCGCCCCTGTTAACATTTTGTTTTTTTAGCTCCAGATAAATTAAATTTATAATTTTTAACCCAAGATAAGTGTCTAAGAAATATTCGTGCTTTTCTTAACTCGTTTCTAACTCACAATTAGAATAATAAAAATTTTTTAAAGCTAAATCATTTTTCAACCTTGTGCTTAGATTTTAAAAAACAATGGTTTGATATACGAGAAATTTTTTTTTTTTTAGAAATTGAAATAGTGCACTTCTTTTTAAAATGGAAGAATGACATATAAATCCTCTAAATAATAATTTTGTCTTGCAAAGTGTGATAGTAACTATGAAGTCTCAAAGAATTTTTTTAAAATTAAATTTCTGTATGAAATGATTTTAATACCCCTCTATGCTGTAGAAAGTTTTGATTTTTAAAATTGTTTTAATTATATGTGAAACCAAACTTATCAGTGATGTAAAATTAGTTGAACTTTACTGATATAAAGTTATAATTTTTTAAATTATTTTAATAATGGTAGAATCAAACTTATAAATATTTATATCAAACCTATGAATTATATAAAATTTGTTAGACTTTACTGATTAAAGAAAATTATTGATAGAAGTTGTAATTTCTTAAATCTTCTTATTCATTAGTAGAACCAAACTTGTGAATATTTATATCAAACTTGTGAACTATATAAATTTGGTTGTGAACCATATACATTTCACATTGAAATTTAATTTTAAAGAATTGCCTTAGGACTTCAATATTATTAAATCGAGACTAAATTATTATTATTTTTATTTCAAAAGGATTTATCTATCATTCTTCCTTTTAAAAATTTTGAAATTGTGCATCAAATAAACAAAAAAAGAACAAGAAAACTGACTTATATAAAAGACCAAGAAAATATTTTAAAATGTGTTTAATAAAAAGGATTGACCCAAGGGAGTATATTTTATTCCAAAAAAATATTTAAAAAGAAATTTAATTTAATAATTGATATCATGGACGTAAAACTTTGATAATCATTTAACTGAAAATAATCATGTTATTGACAAGAGAGAAATGAGAGAAAAGACAAGAGGAGTTTTTATTCACTTCATTATCTCGAGTGTGTGAATATTATCTCTTTTTATATGACCTCTATACTGGCAGCAGACTTCAAGAATTATTAGTGAATAAAAAAAATTGAGCAATAAAATTCTATAATTGAAGGTTATAGAAAATAAATACCAGAGATCCTTCAATTTGAGGACTGTGGAATACGATACCATTCAATAAGAGATGGAGTATTAAAAGCTTCATTCTCTTTTTTTTATAAAAAGATAATTTTATTCCTTACTAAAAAATATAAGAAAAAATAATGATAAAATCATTCTGAAATATATAAATAATAATTTGGTCCTTCGAAATGCCATAATTTTTCTAAAATCCTAAGAGATTTTTCTATCATTAATGAATTCATATAAATTATTAAATTGTCCTTATAGAAAATAAATTATTCACAATTTTTATTTGAATATTCATAATTTTTCTTTTTATATTTGCAATAATGTAACAGCAAATCATAATTTTACATGTTAAATTTTTTATTTGTTGTTGCATTGTTACGAATATAAGAAAAAAATTGTGAATATTTAAAGAAAGCTTATGAATTATTTATTTTCAATATGAATAATTTAATAATTTATATAAATTTATTATTGACAGAAATGTCTCTTGAGACTTCATGAAAATTATGACATTTTAAAAAATTAAATTATCATTTATATATTTTAAAGAGATTTATTATTATTTTTCAAAAATAAAACGTATTACATATTTAAAAAAGTGGTATTCTTGAATGTTGTGGACATCCACACAAAATTATAATATTCGCAATATCTAATTTAGATAATTTTAAAAAATAATAAAAACTGGATCATCGTCACAATGATCGGATTTTTTTTATATTGGGTCAAAGGCGGAAAAGAGTTGAGAGAAGCCAAGCCTTCGGGCCACCACGGTCTCAGATCCATGAAGGGATAGCGGCGGGCCTCAGTCAAGCAAAATAATAATAATAATAATAATAAACGAAAATAAAAGAAAACCTCCATCGCTCACGCCGTGGGAACGGCGAAATGAGCATTAACGGATAACAAAGGAGGTCAGGGGGGAAAGATTGGAAGATAATAACAGCCAAAATGGGAAGCGCCCGCGCCATCTCTGTGCAACCGAGATTGATGTCTTCTTTTGTTGGAGATCTCCTCTCACGCTCAACGCAGCCCCTCCCTCAACTGTTCCGTTATAAGCCAGGTTCTTTCATCTTCTTCTGCTTCCTCCTCTGTGTACAATTTTAGATTACTTGTTCAAGCCAAAAACATATCGCGGCTATTTCGTTATCGTTGTCTCATTAGCTTAATGGAACTACAATCAAACATGCATTTGTCTCCAAAGTCAATATATACATATATTTGCAGTCAATTTTATATCAACTAGACTTGATGACCTTATGCTTTACACGGAGTTTGAGATAAGTTGTACTATTTATGCCTTATGAAGAGTGCAACTTCCAATACATTTCATTTTACAAATTCATTAGTGGTGATTATATTTTCTTTGTTTCTTTTCTAATTGCCTCACTTTACTTATTTTCATTTTCTGGCAGGATGCACCCGTGTTTCAATGCAGTTATCCAGAACTCTTTCCGGCTTGACCAATCTCTTGTTCAATAGCAGGTGCTTACGCCATATTCTGCATTTGTAAAACCTTTATGTACAAGATTGCATGATGTTAGTAGCATTCCTTCCATATAAATAATTTAGATTGTCCATCGTCTATCCTGTAACAGACATGTTGCTTTGTTGTCAGTTATTCATTCTGTGGCGTTAATCTCACATTCTAATGATATTGCTATTGCACAAATATTAAGTGGATACTATATGTGGAAGAATGATTGTCACTAAGTTCTTTCCTGGAAATAAGTAGTGGAAGTCATATTGGCTTACTCAGATTATGGAAGTAGGTTGACGCTGTATAATTATTGCTGTTGCCAATTCACAAATCTGATGGTCAAGGAAAAGTTTGTCGCTTGAAATACAAAGTGAACTCACGTGGTGCTGAAGGGATCAAAGTTCTGGGATGATCTTGGTTATCTCCGAATTTCAGAATACTGACTATTTCAATATTTGTATCTTTCTGTGATTGACTGCAATCAAAACCACCATGCATGCACGCCTTTCTAATTTATGTTCGGGTGATGACTTATGATGATATCTGCAGAAGGCTAGATGATTTGTCAAATAGTAAGCATAAGCATTTGAAGCCAGGAAAAGTTTCTCCACCTCGACCAGTGCCTAAGCACATACCAAGGCCTCCATATGTTAAATCTAAGATGCTGCCTGGGATAGCGAGTGGACCTGAAGTTCATGATGAGCAGGGGATAGAACACATGAGAGCTTCTGGAAGGCTTGCAGCACAGGTTCTTCAATTTGCTGGCACCTTAGTCAAGGTGAATTTTCATCTTTTTTGCTAGTCAACCATTTATACTCATATTGCATATCTCCAATGCTATGATGCGCAGATATGCGCAAGGGTATCTTACTTGAAGCAATGTGATATGGAAATATGCCATATTTTTGTTCTGGTAAATTATTGTCTATCCTCCTGTGGTTTGACCCAAAATTAGTTTTCTTCTTGTGGTTTACAAGTGTGTTAATTAACAGTTCTTTTGGTTTGTTTAGTTACCAATTAACCACATGTTGTATTTTACATCAAAATTTTACACAAAAATAGTCACATGAATGTTACAAATATGAACAGTTTTATTGTTAAATGTTAGTTTCTCCTATAATTACAATAGTTTGAAAGTGTTCTAAAACCATTTTTGGATTAAGGGGACCACTAGCCTAATACAAGTAGTAGGCTTAAATTTTTTTCATGATCTAATTTGATCATATTTCAAACTATGAGAACCCTTGTTTTAGTTTTCACGTGACTGTCTTAGTAAATTTAAGGCAAAATTATCATTAGATGATTTAGGTGTTAACTAAGCTAACTACAAGGGGGTTGAATGATAAATTTTAAACTACAAGGGGACAAATTATTTTGTGCAAAATCACAAGATAGTAAGATGTACTTTACCCGCATTCTGTTGAGTTTCAAGCATTTCAATGATGTTACTTAATATAACATGTATCAAACTTTCAATATGGTTTCAAAACAGTCTTTTTGCATTTCAAAATGGGTTGGAGAAGCTTCAACTCATTTCCAACTCATTTTGGCATTACTTGAAACACTTCTGCCAAAATAATTTATAAAAGAGAAGATAGGACATAGTAGCAAGAATACCACAAATGCACAGACGCATGATATGGTTGTTGGAAAAGGCTAGTGTATGTGCTTCTTAGCTCCTATACAAATGCTGTACATCACACACACACACATGCTCATACTGATTTGAACAGAATTGGAAAAGGAAGATACAGCAGAAACAGGGTGAGAGATCGAGATAGGGAGGGAGAGAGAGACAAAATACCGGGAGAGGGACGAGAGGAGGAAGCAGAACAAAGAGGGATGAAGAACTGAGAGGGAGAGCATACAGACTAGAGGGAGAGAGCAATCAGAGTATGTCAAATAAGTTCATTCATCCAATCTGCCCTCAAATACATTTCAGCATCCTTTTTATAGGCATGAGGTTTCCTTCTCCATGAGGAAACCTCTATCCACTTGCTGAAGACAAAATTATAAAATATTCCTAGTTGCTGAAAAGGAAACTGACAAACAAAAGTAATTGAAATGTAACACAGCTATAATCATCTTCTTCTAAAGTAGTATTTTCCATATTTCTTATCAGCTTGACTTCTTGTTATACAATAAAATTAGCAATGAACTAAATTCTGAAGATGGCTAAAATTCTTAGGATTATCTGCCTTGCTTGTAGGTTAGTGCAAGGCATGGCAGCCATAGTTCTTTTTTTTATAATAATAGGATATATAATTTGATGTGAAATGTGAAAGAACTTGCATGATGCATCTGTTGTCGTCATTGTTTTTACTTAGTTTTAACTACTGTTGGCAGCCGGGCGTAATGACAGATGAAATTGATGAAGCAGTTCATCAAATGATAATTGATAATGGTGCCTACCCATCTCCTCTTGGCTACGGCAATTTTCCAAAAAGTGTCTGCACATCTGTAAATGAATGCATCTGCCATGGAATACCAGATTCCCGACCACTTGAGGTCTGTCTTTACAAGTATATGAGTTCTTTGAATATAATCTAGTGTGAGAAAATTAATTGCTGAACATTCTTTAATGTACAGGATGGTGATATAATCAACATTGATGTTACAGTTTATCTAAATGTAAGGTTTTTATCTTTTTCTTTGATAGTAATTTCATTGAAATTTGAAAGTAGATACTTCCTTATCTGTTTTCTGTTGGCATCTTTAACGACTTTTAAGACTTTATTTTGGTGACTTCATATTGGTTGGCTGAGTTGTAGGGCTATCATGGTGATACATCAGCAACTTTCTTTTGTGGAGATGTTGATGATGAGGCAAGAAATCTAGTTCAGGTGCCAATACGGAACATTAATATGTGCTGATATCCGTTTGTTCCTCACTGTCATAGCAGTGAAGTTTTATATCAGTGGCTTCTTCTTCTTCTTCTTCTTTTCTATCTCACAACCATTTTAGTGACTGGTTTGTTTGCAAAGGTAAATTATTCCATAGAATTTGACTGAACTACTGGTATGACCATAGATTTGAAGCTTATCAGTGCTCATTGCTCATATGTACCCTACAGATTAAATTTAGATAATCAAGATTTTACCCCCCTTCAAATTTTGATATTTAATTTATCTTAATATAAGTGGAATACAAAATCAATAATCTTCCATCAGTTGACTCAATGATATTGATAATTTTAATTTAAAATTTAAAATCCAAATCGTTCAAATGAAATCTGATTGGTCTGGATGTGGGGGCCTATACAAGTATGTTGCCCTGCCATGGATGAGCACCCAATTTAGAACCCAATTGAAGCACGATTACTACATGTTGGGACCTATACAAGCTGGGATTTGATTAGTTTTAGAGGTCTATTCATGTCTATGACCATATGACATACTGAACAAGCCTTTAACATGGGGAAGGTATTACATACCGGAATGGCTTTTTAACTTCAAATTTAACTGATAATTTGCAACATGCTCGATTATATGCATGGAAAGAATTTAAAGTTTACTTGTAGGTACTTCAACATTACTGCTATTTCTTGTCATAAGGGATATATGGCATTAGCCTGCACAAATCATTATTGGTGATTTAATATTATAGTATAGCATGATAGCAGAAACAGATTTTGCATGGCTAACCTTTTCCATAGATCATAATGGGCTTGATGATTGTTTGATGTTGACATAGGTAACTAAAGAATGTCTGGACAAAGCAATATCTATATGTGCACCGGGGGTGGAGTTCATGAAAATTGGCAAAACAATTCAGTAAGAAGTTTGTATTTACCTCATAATGCAGAACTCTGCAGTTACAAAAGCTGTCACACTTTGCTTATTTTATTTTCCTTTATTTTTTATGCATAGAAATTGCATTGCTTTATGTCCATCACGATTAACTTGTCTACATCTTAGCCAGCCGTGAACAGTTTTAGGCCTCAAACTTCATAGGAGAGTTATATATTTTTTTATTCTACTGTTGCATCCTTTTAAGGCGTACTAAAATTTTTCTAGCTTGATGCTTCAGCTTTGTTTGGGAGGATGGAGAAATTTGAATTCAGAATGGAAAGAAAAAAACCCAATACAATGTTTTTCTTAAAATATTTTTCATAATATTCATTACTGCTTCTCCCTCCTGATGTTTATTGAAAGCGGTGTACAAGAATCGCCTTATGCTTGTGTTACTGATTAATAAAGTAGTTGAAGACCCTATTAGGCGCAAGAATTTCATGAATTATTATTATTATTTTTTGCCAACTTTGTCAATTATGATTCTTGATCATATAATGATTCAAAATTGATCCCCCCCTTTTTTTTTTAATCTATTGACAGTGATCATGCAGATAAATTTCATTATGGTGTTGTCCGACAGTTTGTTGGTCATGGAGTTGGACATGTCTTTCATGCTGATCCAGTTATTCTTCATTACAGTTACTATTCTCAACTTCATGCTCGTGTCATTATGCGGCTTCATTTCAGTTCTTTAGTTCATTACCTTTTGAAGGGGATCAAAGGCTATGTTTTCTTGGAACATTCAACTATTACTGCATAATAAATTTATTGATGTTTTCAGGAAACAATGATGATGGAAGGATGATGTTGAACCAAACATTCACAATTGGTAATGGGTTGAGTTAGTGAAACCGAGATTATGCATGACTTTGTCGTATCAGAATATTGTTATTATTATTATTCTTTTTGTTTTGGCTGCACATAGTCACATACGGTTAATTTGTGCAGAACCAATGCTGACTGTTGGCAGCATCAATCCCATTATGTGGAATGACAATTGGACCGTTGTAACTGAAGATGGAAGTCTCTCGGCGCAGTTTGAACACACCATCCTAGTCACCTCAGACGGGGCTGAGATTCTTACTCAATGCTGACAGATCCAACGCTTAATACTTGCAAACAGATCCTTGCCTGAAGGTATATTCCACCGGTCATTGTTTTAGTGACTTCCAGAGCAAGGAATTCATGCTGGAGGTCAGGAGGTGTTGCGTTTATCCTCATTTTTTTGGCCGATGCCCTCTTGCCAGAATTTTTTTCCCTCATGCCTGTTTTAATGTTTCTTCCGTTCTCTAGTAAAAAGTGACCCGTATTTATCGAGAGGCTGAGAGACAGTGTAACATTCTAAAATTTTAAACTGATCTTTCACAGATTATAAAGTTCCACAATTGCTTTGTCCATTAAATACATATCATAGTAGGAGAGAGTCTATCATGGCAATAAAGAGTAACCCTTACTTTTCAAAATACTATCATAGTAAATAAAAGTTTATCATGCTAGAGAAGATTTTAAGTCATATTTTCAAACTCTACTACAAACGAAAGGGGCTAACATGGTAATTAAAAATCAAAAGTATTTTTATAAAGTTTATGATAAAAGGAGCTTTTCTTATAATATAATATCTCTCAAACTGGTTATCATGATAGAAAAAGATTTATCATGATAAAAGAGTTAAATTACTAAAACAAATTACTACCATTGAAATTTGGAGAAAAACTATGTATATTAAGATGAATTAAGTATTTGAAAACTTAGAGCATGTGCACCTAACAAGTTCTTATTAAAAAAAAGTGATAATTTACTAATAAAATATTTTGCAAATAGATCAAAGAGAATATTAGTCAAATGGTCATGAAAAATAAAGTTTCAAGAAATTACAAATGAGGTTTTCATATATTTTGGAACATGGCTCGTTTACAAAATTAGTTGGAGGTAATTTTTTTTTATCCATAAACAAATATATAAAACACGTAGCAATAACTTCCGCATGAACTGGGTTAGGAATATATCTTGTGTAATTGAATGATTTTAACCTTCAGCTAATTGAATCAATTTTCTACACACATGGTCATCTTATTTCTCTCCCTTTCACAATCATTCCTTTCCTTTTTTGCCCTATGAGGATCACCATCAAATATTTCTTAATAACATTATCCAATACTTGCAAGACTGATCATCAGATTTTGGTTTTTGAAAGTTGAATAATAGGTTGGGATTTATTATCTATCATTTACCATCGTCATATTTCTCGATAATATTCTTATCAAACAGTTGTTCATTTGTTCATAATATATGATTTGTTGTCATTGATTATGAAACTTTGTTTGAATTATTATCAAAAAACATAGATTGTTCTCTTATTGTTCATGATTTTTTATTTTATTAGTTTAGGTATTTGATTCTTTGTGATAAACTAAGAGTTCAAATTTTTTTGCAAATTGTGTTTGATTTGTTTTAAACAAATGATTATATGTTTTTCATGTTACTAATCTACGATACAATATTATTGATATACAATAATAAACAAGTTTATAGCTGATTGTTTAGTTATGTTGATCTGCGATAGTATATCTGTTATATGTTATTGTATATCACTGATATATAAGCCATATCAATGAAAACTTACCAACACTATTTTATCTTGTAGATATGAGAATGTTTAATTTCGTCATTTCTTATAATGAAAATGAGATTCAAACAACCGTTATATTGATAGTTTATAAATGCTTGTGGAAGTTTTTTACTTCACACATTCACTGATGATAAGGCTTGTTGCTTGCCTATGGTTGCCACACATGACATCAACAGTACAATTATGGCCCATAACATACCATCTTATGACCCAAACTCGAGTAAAAGAAACCTTTGAAGCCTGCACATACCATTTACAACTATCAACACTATAAGCATTAGCAAGTCTCTAACGATTTGATTTAAAAGTTTTGTATTCAAAATTCCTCTTCATAGCTAAGAGTTGCAAAACTTTTTGAACATCTAATTTGCTAAAGAACACATCTCCCTCCTTAATATTGTCCATTTGTAAAAGCTCATCGATTTCACTACAATGCTTATTATTAGTAAATGTGGAAGAATATGAAGTTAAGGAATTAGCTCCTTTATTAAAACTTTCAAACATTTGTTGTATCTATAAAGGTTTATTAGAAATAGAGACAATCAATAAAAAGCTAAAGAGATTAAAATTTCTCAACGAACTAAAATACTATATCAAATTATTGTCATTTTTGACCTCTAAAATGCTATACGTTGAAGTCTTAATATCAAAAGAAACCATTAATTTGACCTCATGATCTGCATTCAATCGCAATTTCTCATAGATAATTTTCATGACATTAAGATATGAAGTTGCATCTTTCACAAACATTTCAAGGTATAGACCATAAGTATAACGGTTGTTAGAATCCCATTTTTCATTATAAAAAATGACAAGATTCAACATCCTCATATTTACAAGATAAAATTGTGTTTGTAAATTTTCATTGATATGACTTATATATCACTGATATATTATCACAGATCAACATAACTAGACAATTAAATATAAACTTATTTATCATTGATATACAATCATATATTAATGATGTAGTATTGCAAATTAATAATACAAAAAACACATAATCATTTTTTTCAAAATGGATCAAACATAGTTTGCAAAAAATTTTGAACCTTTAGCTTATTACAGAGAATCAAATACCTAAACTAATAAAATAAAACATCATAAACAATTTAAGTCTTCATTTGTTTGCTCTATTCTCTTATATTTAGGATCTTTAAGCATTTTCAAAAACTAGAGCATTATAATTTGAAAGGGAAGTTTTGTTAATTAAATTTTAGACAAATATTAAAAGGCCATTGTTTAAATTTAAGAAAGGTTGGGCTATTAGTTTTATTTGGTCATATGATATGGGCTAAATTTGTAAAAGTCCCTAAAACAAAAGCAAAGCATGATTCCCAAGGACTAGTTTGTCCAAAAATAACTTAGAAAAGGGTAAAAGGGTCAGAGGGATCATTCTGGTAATAAATTTTTGAAAAAGGGCATTTCTAGAAAAATTGGGCCATGTCATGTCTTGCTGTCATGCGTCATGACATATGGCATAGAAAAGGCACTTTCTCCTCTGTGACGTGCGTTATGGCACATAATGTTGATACGTCATTGTGCAAACTGTCGAAAATTTTAAACTTTAAAAATGCATAAATTTTCATATAAAATTTTGATTTGGATGATTCAAGTGTCAACGTGAAAAAAATTTAGTTATTGGCTTTAGTTTGATATTAAAACTCCTCCATTTGAGGATTTTTTTCCACTAAAACATATGATGAGACAAAATACCACTTTTTCCAAACACCTCCAAGCTATAGCCAAAGCTTTAGCCCATCATGTAAAACACTTAGACCAATTCAAACTCACTCCAAACAACAATTTCAAAATTACAACTTGACACGTATATGTGAAATTCACATAGTTAAGTTACAGCTATCCAATACAATTATAAGTGTACCATACAATGCTTTAGGTAAAAACTTCAATGTCTATACTTTTTGAAACTTGATTCTAGTTACAACCTGTTTAGATGGATGGTATAACCAATTTTTAGGGAAAAATAATTGATCTTTGTAAAAATTACCAAACAGCTAAAAAATTTAATAAATGATTATTGAACTAGAATCACGTTTTGAAATAAGCTATAGGAGGTTACTTATAAATTCAATTTTACTGTTAAATAATATATTTTACTTCTTAAATAAAATTTAACAAATTTAATTATATTAAATATAATTGTATCAATAATTTAATTTTGAAAAGCAATTTCTTTTTCAATAATTTGTACAGCTAAAATCATTTTTAGAAAAATATTATTCAAACATATTGTATTATAACATAATCAATTAAAATCAAAATCAATCATATTAATTAATTATTTTTATAATTAATTATACCCAACTAAAATTTAAATAGGCCCTTAATCACATTATAAAAGCCATGATTGTCACAAAAATCACTTCAAGCATTTAATTACGAGTTTATCCCAAAATAGGAGAGTCACATGCTCATTAACAATTCAAATGCCTTAAGGTTGGCAATTTACATAAATATTCCAAAAAAAAAGAGGTCAACATGACCTATTGGTGTTTACTCACACCAAACTAGGCTTCTAATGCTTCTCCAGCTGAACTGTTTCTTATAAAACATTAACCATGGAAAGTAAGACTTAGAAGACTTAGTAATCAAGATTAATATGCAACTGTGCATGCAATGCAACTTATCATGCAATTGGTAAGTGGAGCATGCAAGATGATTTCTAAATAATAGATATCCAGACAAAAATCAAATAATTTATATTTTTAACACAAAACATTTTATATCCTTCCTAACTCTATGCCTAGGACCAAATCACCCAGTCAAAGGTGGGTTAGTCCTAGCAAATAGTCACTCATTGAATTTAATGAGATCTTATCATGTGGTAAAATAACAACTCCAAACAAAATAATCAAACAACACATATTTTTCAAATAAACTAATATGTCATGCTTTTAAATAACCAAACAATTATATACTTTCAAACAATAATCATTTCCAAACAAAAAGTGTATATATTTACATATAAATAATTATTCCACTTGGTAATTATTTTTTGAACAATAAAAACACACTTATCTCAATATATTTACTTTCAAACAAGACAAACATAACAAGTCACAAGACACACATAATCACACATTAACAATGGTTACCTTATTTTCTTGCAATTAGAGCTCCCAACATAAGAGCACCATCACCTTCATCAGTTTTTACCACATTTTACATGCATTAAAATGCTAACTATAGTTAATAAAGTGTTAATTAACACTAATTAAAGTGTTAGCACATTAATCACACTCTAATCTTAGGGTTAGGTTAATTAATCTAACTAGCCTAAATTTGTCAGAACCTTTTAAACCCTTAAGCTCACCCAAATTCTTCCTAAACACTTATTTCACCTTTGAATAACTTAAATCATCATTAACCCACCCAAACAATCTAGGGTTTTTAGGCCTCAAAATAACTTAACTAAGCTTATTTAACCTAAGACACTCATATAATTCAAACCTTAGGGCTAGAAACCCTACCCATGGAAATCCCTAACATCAAAACCACAAAAAACTAGCTAGAATAGAGGAGTATAAGGTAAGAGTGAGTTTAGACAAGTTTACCTTAGTAGTTTAAGCCTCTCAAATAATGACTTCACCAATCTCTAGTAAAGGAAAATAATTTCGCACCTAACTCACTCCCCCTCCTCTTCTATTTCTTTGTCTGTCAAATAGACAATTAAGCCTGTTTACATATCATGTGCCACAGTAGGCCCATCCTGTATCACGGCGCATGATGCAA